AAATGGTTTATATCCCAAAACAAATCTAAAAGATTCTAGTTTATGATAAGTCATCGAAATAGGTAGAGAGAATTTGAAGAAAGTTTTGGAAAATTTGTTTTAATGAGAAGGTGTTGGAATGAAATATATTCCAATATGTCAAAATGGTGCAAATTTGAAAAAGTTCCAGCGGGAGTATTTATTGGACTAGTAAAATGATTTATATCCTAAAATAAAGTTAAAAGCTTCTAGTTTATAAGTCATCGAAATAAGTAGAGAGAATTTGAAAAAAGTTTTGGAAAATTTGTTTTAATGAGAAGGTGTTGGAATGAAGTATATTCCAACATGTCAAAACGGTGCAAATTTGAAAAAATCACAGCGGTGGTATTTATTGGAGTGGTAAAATGGTTTATATCCCAAAACAAATCTAAAAGATTCTAGTTTATGATAAGTCATCGAAATAGGTAGAGAGAATTTGAAGAAAGTTTTGGAAAATTTGTTTTAATGAGAAGGTGTTGGAATGAAATATATTCCAATATGTCAAAATGGTGCAAATTTGAAAAAGTTCCAGCGGGAGTATTTATTGGACTAGTAAAATGATTTATATCCTAAAATAAAGCTAAAAGATTGTAGTTTATGATAAGTCATCGAAATACGCAAAAATAATTTGAAAAAAGTTTGGGAAAATTTGTTTTAATAAGAAGGTGTTGGGATGAAATGTATTCCAATATGTCAAAAAAGTGCAAATTTGAAAAAATCACAGCGGTGGTATTTATTGGAGTGGTAAAATGGTTTATATCCCAAAACAAATCTAAAAGATTCTAGTTTATGATAAGTCATCGAAATAGGTAGAGAGAATTTGAAGAAAGTTTTGGAAAATTTGTTTTAATGAGAAGGTGTTGAAATGAAATATATTCCAATATGTCAAAAAGGTGCAAATTTGAAAAAGTTCCAGCGGGAGTATTTATTGGACTAGTAAAATGATTTATATCCTAAAATAAAGTTAAAAGCTTCTAGTTTATAAGTCATCGAAATAAGTAGAGAGAATTTGAAAAAAGTTTTGGAAAATTTGTTTTAATGAGAAGGTGTTGGAATGAAATATATTCCAACATGTCAAAAAGGTGCAAATTTGAAAAAGTTCCAGCGGGAGTATTTATTGGACTAGTAAAATGATTTATATCCTAAAATAAAGCTAAAAGATTCTAGTTTATAAGTCATCGAAATAAGTAGAGAGAATTTGAAAAAAGTTTTGGAAAATTTGTTTTAATGAGAAGGTGTTGGAATGAAATATATTCCAACATGTCAAAAAGGTGCAAATTTGAAAAAGTTCCAGCGGGAGTATTTATTGGACTAGTAAAATGATTTATATCCTAAAATAAAGCTAAAAGATTCTCGTTTATGATAAGTTATCGAAATACGTAAAGATAATTTGAAAAAAGTTTGGGAAAATTTGTTTTAATAAGAAGGTGTTGGGATGAAATATATTCCAATATGTCAAAAAAGTGCAAATTTGAAAAAATCACAGCGGTGGTATTTATTGGAGTGGTAAAATGATTTATATCCTAAAATAAAGCTAAAAGATTCTAGTTTATGATAAGTCATCGAAATAGGTAGAGAGAATTTGAAGAAAGTTTAGGAAAATTTGTTTTAATGAGAAGGTGTTGGAATGAAATATATTCCAATATGTCAAAAAGGTGCAAATTTGAAAAAGTCCCAACGGGAGTATTTATTGGACTAGTATATAGTATGATTTATATCCTAAAATAAAGCTAAAAGATTCTAATTTATGATAAGTCATGGAAATAGGTAGAGATAATTTGGAAAAAACTTGGGAAAATTTATTTTAACGAAATGGATGTGATTTAAGATTGAATTTTTTCAAATCATCTCAATTTGCATATCTGTTTCAAATCAAAAGGTAAAATAGTGAATTATATTTTACCTTGTAATGCGTATCTTTTGAATCGAGTATCACTTCCGAATATAAATTTGTCCTTGACACCACATCTCGGTAATTTCATTACAGATTCAGTTTCTTCATTCATTTCACCTGTTAATATATTAAAAATCAAATAAAACTATATTGTATGTATTATAGATCAATTGATATGATTTCCAAGCTTTATATAACGTGTACCTGTTACGGGAAGTCCTGCAAAGCTTTGAAATTCTTCTATGGCCCGTTTTAAAATCGATTGGTTAAGTAATCTACTAGAATTCATAAGATTCCCTTTAGAAACGTATCCATATTGAGAAAGATAACCCTAAAAAGAAATATTACTACTTATTTGTGTAAAAATACAAATATTATTTTATTCATAACCTCTGACCGCAATTTAGAAATTATCTGCTGATTACATATTTATTAATATCATTTTGTCACCATGTATTGCTCGTATTTTCTTATTCGGATTCAATAAATTCAACACAAAAATTAATCAAATTAATATTCAAAGAGATCAAGTATTTTTGGGACGGTAAGAAATTTAAAAAAGAACTTACCATAACATCATTAGATCCTAAAGACGCGGCTTTTGAACCGAAAATGTTGCTAAAATAAACAAGAAAAATCGAAAAAATGTTGGTGATTTTCATTTTTGACTTCACAAATAATCGTAAGAATGTTTTGTTTTTAAGTGTTTGGGTTTGGTTGTGGTTGACTCGATCTGAGCCAAATTCTTTTTAAACACTGACGCTTCCGTACTTATCAAAGTCGTAATAACTACACATATAATTTCATAATAGTGATGTGCGCATAAATCTTTCTCGTTCCGCTTAATTTTTATATTTGTAATTATTAATCAATAATTGAGTTGTAATGATCGTTTAAATCCAACTCAACACGTTTGATTGTTATTAATTTGAAATATAAATTTTAAAAAAATCGTATCTCAAGAAAGAATTGAGATATCATTATGAAATAAAGAACATTTTAAAGTAAATTTGATGGAGATTTAATGTGCCAGAAATCATATCTGATTTTCCATCAACATCGTTGTTATGATTTATTAAAACTAACTCTGAAATTCTGCTGTCCAACGATTCAGTTCTTATGTATATTATAGAAAGGTGTTCTGATATAGAGAAAAATGTATGCTTTTACTCCTTCAGCTGTGTCCCATACAATAGATGAAACACAGTCTTCAGTGTATGCTACCCCAAGAGGCTACAGTTAATCTGAGAACAATGCCACCATACTCCTCCTCGGTGGAAATGGTACCATTAGAAACACACAATTTAGATGTAGTCTCTAGAATCAACTCAAAGCAGTTTCATCCAGAATGGCAACGAATCTATGTTTGATCAGATCAAAACGAAAACGCTCGCGGAGTATAAGACGTAAGATACCGAAGTATAAAGCAAATGTATGTTTTGAGATTCACAGAAAGAAAAGCTCTGAACGTACATCCAGAAGGGAACAGTTTGATCCCCAACTATACTTATACTTACTACTAAATTTGCTTTGCGTAAGAATGCGTTTTGAGCATGACAGTAACAGAAAATATTTGATGATGTATGCGTCTAGAGCAGTGGAAGGGCTAATTATTTATTCATGGCTAAATCCAATCGTTTCGTCATCTTGTCCTCGTATTTTTTCTAATTTCTTCAGTTCGAACTTGTTTTCAAAAGACACACTGCTTAACCGGAAAGTTTTCAGTTTTAGGTTTAGTGTGAGTTCTAGTAAGGTTTGGTACTAATATTATCAGCTTTTATGAGCAGGATATTAACAAACAAATCAAGGATTTTGGCAACTTACGGATTAAACAACATAAGTTACTAAATAGCTTGACCTTCCTATGAAGATGCAGAAAGAAGAAAATAACGCCAGCATACCTCAAGGTGAGGCTTTTTTTTTCAATGACACGTTAATGATACAATTCATCATGATACAGATAAAAATTTAATTAGTAAACAAGATAAAATAATAAAAACAAGAATTTTATCAACAGATTGTTGGCTATGGCGATAATTATAAATAAAACCGCAACACATTACAGATAACTCATTTATTGTTCATTAATGTAATGGTGAAGATGAAGAATTTCTTACTTATTCTAATTTTTAGTCAAGTTGTCAAAACACAACTGCACTATAATTCTCCAACTTCCATAAAAACATTGATGAGTGACATTGTAGAAATGAAAAAATCTATTTCCGAGTTGGGTGAGAATTATTTAAAGATTTAATAAATTTTTCACATCAGCAGGTTACCTTAAAGTGTGTTAATGTTCCAATTAACGATGTTTTTTTAACGATATGTTAAAAAATTAAGGATTATTTCTATTTTAGGAGAAAAAACAACGAGGTGTGATGAAATTGGTTCATATCAACCTTTTTTTCATACATTACTAAGTACTCTTCAGCTATCGATTAATAAGCTATCATTCCTTGATGAAAAAATAAACATTAATACCAAGTAATAATGAACATTTAATAATTACAAAAAAATATATTGTAATATTTTTTTTATTCAGGATTGAAATTAAAATAAATGAGTTAGAAGAAAAATTAGAACGCTCGTTTAAACAAATCAATAATAAATTAGAGGAAAACAAGCAAAATGAAGATTTAGAAAAAATTTTAAATAAATTAAATAATGTTGAAAACGTTGAAAATGTTTTAAATGAAAATATTAAATTTCAAAATGTAAAAATTCAAAAATTATTTGATGGCTACAATAAATTAAAAGTAGCAGAGACTCTTCCTCTTCTTCTAAAGGTTAAATTGAACGATTTAAACGCAATACTGAATCAAACTCCGTCAAAACTTGATGACATATCAACAAAAATTAATATACTAGAAAACTCTGTTAAACAAATCAATAATAAGTTAGAGGAAAATGAAGTTTTCGAGAAAGTTTTAAATAAAATAAATAAGGTGGAAAATAACACAGAAAATGTAATAAATACCTTAGAAAAGAACGACATTGAAAACGTTTTACGAGAAAATTTAAAATTTCAAAACGTGAGTATAGAAAAATTAATTGAAAAATGTAGAAAAACGGAAGACACACAATTTATTTTACCCGGATGCTTTAATTACACATCTTTAAATTCTTTTAAAAGACTTTCTCTTACGTCTGAGTTTTATGCAAGTTTCCACAACGCTGCAAAATTATGCGAAAACGGTTGGTTGGTAATTCAAAGACGGGGGAGTTTCGAGCAACAAGAACGTTTTAATAGATCCTGGAACGACTACAAATATGGTTTTGGCGATTTAAATAAAGAATTCTGGCTTGGCAATGATTTCTTATACCTGTTGTCGCATCAAAATCACTTAAAACTGCGAGTAGAATTAGAAACTTTCAATGAGAAAAGAAGTTGGGCCGAATATGATTCATTTAAAATTGGCAATGAAGATGAAAATTATCAACTGAAAATTGAAGATTACAGTGGAACTGCTGGTGATTATCTTTCCCGTCATAATAACAAAAATTTCAGCACATTCGATAAGAATAATGATGTTAGTTGTACCCGATACATTAAAAAAACAGGGTGGTGGTTCTGCGAATGTAATGATAACAATTTAAATGGATTTTATTATAAAGAGCAATCAATGCGTCAAGATGGAGTGCATTGGACAAGATGGAAGGCTGTTTCTTTGAGGAAAGCTAAAATGATGGTAAAACCAAAAGAAAATTCATCAAAAATTAGATTTTCTTTCTAAAACGTAAGAATATATTTCCCAATTTCTTTTTTCTATTAAATTCATTATATATAACTTTTATTTTGTATTATAATCGATTTTATGTTTTTGGTTAAATTTGGTTAATTAATAAAATTAACATAAATACTATATAAAAATATATAAATATTTAATTAATTCCTTGTTTATCCCAATAAGACGCGACAATTAAAAAATAACCGCAAACATAAATGATGTTTACTATTCGTGCTAAAAGTAAAAGTCCCTTAATTTAGAGATCGACATTTTTAAAGTTTGTCGTAATCACTAAACGTTTCTACGTAAAGGCCCGTTTACACGCTCATGTCATTTGCAGAAACTGACTTGCACAAGTTTGCGCAAACGGACTGAATAAAATAATAATAATTCAATCATGTGGGCTATATATGTAAGTAGATGTGACAAGTCAGTATACATAGAACAATAAAACAAAATATAATATATAAATAATATACAGTGTGTCCCCGGATTGTGTCCCCGTAAGGTATAATTGACGATAAATTTTTGAATTCAAATTCCATCTTTTGCAATTAAAGTCTGGATGTCATAAAACGAAATATAACCAAGTTTTACGTCAAATATCCTCAAAGTACCAAAGTTAACGCAAGAAGTTTGTTAACCGTTGCAGGTAAAGTGGTCTTTCTGAGCAATGTACAACAAAAGTTGATTAAGATAAAATGTTTGTTATGTTAAATTATAGCGATATGCCGAATTTTATTAATGTAGGATATAAGAGCAAAATGTGCAGGTTTTNAAAAAATCGAAAGAAAAATTGTTTTAATAACCGCCGAAATTTTTAATGACCTTGTTACACATACGATCGTGTTTTTAATGGGATATCTAAGAAATTTGTGATAAGAGTTCAAAGAAGCCAATGGAAAATTTTAATTTTTAAGTGATGAAAGTGTTTTTGATTTAACCAGTGACATCTAGTGTGGAAAAAATAATAATAACGCGAAGAAACAGTATAGACATCTGTAATGTTTCAAGAAAAATAATTCAATTTATTTATTCAATCACATGGGCTACATAAGTAGATGTGACAAGTCAGTATACATAGAACAATAAAACAAAATATAATATATAAATAATATATAAAAAAAATTATATGAATATAAAATAAAAATTTAACAAATCATTAACAAACAACAATTATTAATCGTTTCAAAATTTTTCTTTATTTAGAACAAGATTTTCTCACCTTTGATTCGTTATGTTGGGAAGTGATGTAGCACCAGAAACGCCAGACCACGTTGGGGCACTATGAGACTACCTCCCTTTTGGGCTGTACGTCCGGAAACGTGGTTCTGGCAAAGTGAATCACAGTTTGCCCTTGGTAGGATCATCAACGATCATACCAAGTTTAACCTGGTGGTGACGCATAGAGATGTGCAAATTACGTGGGTCATGCGTGACCCACCGTGAGCGGACATCAATTTTTGTACCACTCACGTGAGCGTGCGTGATCGTGAGCAACTTTAATTTCAGAAGGTTTGAAATTAAATGTGATAATTCTGTACGTTTAACAGGTCATGTATTAAAATTTATTTATCTGACTAGTTTCGGTTCAAAAAACCATCTTCCGAGATAAACTACAAGAAATGAAATATATGTATACATTCGTTCTAGACAGAACAAAAAGAATTTTTGTTAATTATTCAATAACTATAAGAAATATACCCAATAAACTATATATAACAAATATATATAGTCATCAGTATCAGAAGAAAATGACAAATAATTTTAGGTCATAGCCAACTATGGTTTCTATTTAAAAAAATAAAGTTACTTCTAAAATCTCGAAAATATTATTAAGAGTTTATTGTATACAGTAATTGTTTACAATTCTTTACATTATTCAAATATTACTTTCACTCTCTACCCTCTTCCTCCATTTCCACGCCCTCGGCTCCTCGGCCCAATCATCCCCTCACCCATCCCTTTGTCTCCTCACCCCCATCACCATTCTCATCCATCGTTTCCCCTCTCCCCCCTCTCCAAAGATCTGCCTTCGGTCCATCTCCTCCTCCCTCAACTCACTGCACCCATTCAGCATGTGTTCTAACGTTTCCCATTCCTCCCTGCACAGCCGTGGTGTAGGCTCTCCTCATCGGCCATCCAGTATTTGTTGGCTCTCTCCTCGTTTCCACAACGGAACCTAGCCACCAACTTTTTGCCTTCCTCATCTCTTTCCAATAACAAGTATCTAGGCAGCCCCTTAGTAATTATGTCCCTGTATCTTTCGTTATACCTTCCCTCTTTTATTTGTGTCCTTCTTTCCTGTCTCTGCACATCTCGGTCCCTGTCTCTCAACTCCCTCCACATCTCCCTACCCACCCTTCGTCTACTATTTATCTCCGTTACCGAGTAGCCCGCTCGTCTATAATAGTTGTCTCTGTGTCCTTTCCCATATCTGACCTTTCCCTCTCTAATTTCCCTCCAACACTCCCCCAGGATCCCGCAGCTTGGCCTCCCTTCTATTCTTTCTTCATATTTCACTGCCCTCCTGGCCGCCTCCACCCTGACCTTATCCACCTTTACCTCTTCCCTCACTATATACCCCGGTGTTTCTCTCGCCACCCCAAGCACCCATCTCCAATATCTAGCCTGCACGTCCTCCAGCGGTCCCTGCTCCCTCCATCCCCATACCTCTGCCCCATACATCATCACACTGCTAACCAGACCTTCAAACATAATCTTCCTCGCTGCCACATTCCTTCCAAAGACTCTCTTCCCCCAACCCCGTACTTGTCCCATCACCTTATTCGCCTTTTTTGCCATAGCTATCACATGCGACCCCTCCCTGTTATCCTCCCTAAACACATACCCCAAGTAAGTATACTCCCTAACCTCCTCGATCTCGTTTCCCTCCCATCTCCAGTTTTCTGTTCTTTTTCTCCCACCCTTACAAAACTTCATCATCCTTGTCTTCCCCACATTTACTTCCAGCCCCTTCCCCCTAATATATCTTTCCAATGTCTTTATCATCTCCTTCATCTCCACCGCTTCTCTCGCCATGACCACGATGTCATCCGCGTATGCTAACATATGCACCTTTCTACCTCCCACCACCAATCCTCCCATCTGCCCCTTCCCCAATCTTTCCTCCAGGTCCGCCGTATACAGTGCAAACAGACTTGGGCTCAGCGGACATCCCTGCCTCAGTCCCTTCGTCGTCCAGAACACGTCGCTCAGCTTATCTCCCACTTTTATCCTAGCCATCGTCTCCATGTATATTTCCTTCACTCTCGCAACTAGGTGTTCCGTTATCCCCCTCCTCCCCATCTCCTCCCACAACTTCCCTCTATCCACCTTATCAAAAGCCGCCTTCAAATCTATAAACAGGGCGTACAATTTCCCTCCCTTCTTATCCAGCTCTCTATCTGCCAAATGCTTCAACACATACACGTTGTCGATTGCACCCCTTCCCTTCCGAAAGCCTGCCTGCCCATCCGCAAAATTCCCCCCAACTCCATCTCCTCCTCCAATCTTCCCAGCAGTATCTTCGTGTATACCTTGTATGCCGAGTCTAGTAGGTTAATTCCCCTGTAGCTCTCTACACTTCCCTTATTACCCTTTTTATATACTGGGCAAATTAAAAATCTAATAGCTAAAATCTCGAAAATAAAAGATGCGAAAAAAATTATATATACAGGCGTACAAAAAGTATGGAATAATGGTTCTACAGCCTAAACTTCAACTTATATTAAAAAAAGTTTTAAATAAAAGTTACTTGAGACTATTTTCCGCATATCTTGGTGTAGAAATAAAATAAAAATGATGACGGCAGTTTGAGTTATGACATGGTAAGTGTGTTTTTTAAATGGA